CATGCCAAGGGAAGCCAGAGATGGCTGGCTTCCCTTGCCTCACAGTCCAATCAAATCGCATCAACTTAGTGTTGCAGTGACGCATCCTAAAACCCGGAAGTAAGCTGCGCTCGGTTTCCCTCGACAAAAAGGCAATGGGATTTCTCCATAGGATTTAGGAAAATAGCTCGAAATAAGGTCAGTGGAAAACGAACCTGTTAGATAAATGCAAGTTTTGTTCAGTCGGATAATATCCACATGTCTACCCTACTTTTATAATTTTCGAATCATAAATCTAATCGATAGAAGATAGATAGCGTCACTGCATCACTCTCACCGCCGTTAGAAAGTAGCAAGCAACTGAAACAAGTGAAATTATGGAGGGTGGAGATTTGGAGTATTTAATCAAAAATAATTGTACTAAACTTCCGCTACAGCAGCAACAACAAATACAATCTGATGACAGGCCGATGCCCAAACTGGAGCTGTGTACAGCGAGGAAAAAAGGAGCGAATCGGACGAAAAGGTCTCCTGATTTAGTTTGTGAATTAATGCTTATTAGAGTTTCGGCTGGAGAGTGCGTGCGGACCTGTCGGTTAGATAACAGGCGTGTGTAAGTCCTGCATCTGATACAAATGTGTGTAAAATGATACCGGGTGCTGTAATCACTCATCTGGTTACGTTATTACATTGACCACCACACCCCCGACCCAAAAGAAAGGACGTATTATTGGCTTCCCCTAATTTTGTTCCCACGCCACGCTACTGCCACTGAAAGGCTAAAATGTGCTCTTTGCTGTTCCATGTAGGAGTCGGAAGTCATTTGTAGTCCATGGTGTTTAATAAAACGCAAACAAACAATATACAACTCCAAACCTGACGGTCAACAGAAAGTATCAGAGCGCCATTCACCCTCTTCCTACATCATATCCTCCAAACCGGCATCCAACAGGTGACTAAATACCAATAAACCACACCCACGTGACCATTGCCGTAAGTGATAAACAATAAGAATTAAACATGATGCAAACAGAAATGAAGATAATAATAAAAGTAATAAGTAATGGCAAAACAAGCATTATGGCTCCTACATTCCCGCCCCTAATTATTATATAACAATTTATAATAATTATTCAAAAACAAATTACAATAAATTCTAATGATATGCAGATCATAATTTTTTTAATCCAGTATTCATATATCAGTATACAAGCAATCAAGTCTGCTGTGTGTAGTAGTGTGTGTGCAGGGGGCAAAAATAGTCACTGTATGCATGGGGCAAGGAGCAAGGTGAAAAATGGAAAATTATTTAGACATGGCAGAAGTTTCTCTGCCTCATGAAAAAGGCGTACTTGGCTGAGGGGTCTGTTCAGAAAGCCAATATGTGTCTTCATCTGAATCACAAGTACAAGTCATTTTTTCCTTATCCTTTTCCAATCTAATGTGATTGGTCCTTCCAATAGTTTGGCAGATGTTAAGACTGGATCCCGGAACCGCTGATTTTCCATGGAAAGTCTCTGGATGTCTCTGCCACCTTCAGGATAGTGCATCTTAAATTGATGTTTCCACAGCATATCCACTTTCATTACAGATGTCCTGCAAGCACCCATCGCTGACTCTGAGAGTTTGCAGTCATCTTCACCGGCCCCAGTAAGGCCACTTGTATGCAAAAAGGCCATGGCTGGTTATTTTCTGTCGATCTTATGGCGCGTTTCCACTGCAGCGGGTAGCTCGCTTTAAGCGTGCCGAGCCGTGCGGGGCCCGTTTTTGGTTGCGCTTCCACTTGGCCTAGTTTTGGCTGGCCCGACTAAATCGTGGTTCTAGAGCCAGGAACAACCAGGCTGAGTCGGGCTGAGTATGCTAAACTAGAGAGAGAATCGCTGGCAAGGGGGCTACAACTACAACAAGATGAACATATTTGACCGTGATTTAATTTTAATACACATTTCAAAATGATGCCGAAGTAACAACATACTGATTCCGGTTAGTAAAAACCATGAATTAATGCTTTGATAAGTCTGCAGACAGACGGCAGGCGAAAAACCCTTTTAAAATGCGTGTTTTCTAAATGGAGCTTGGCTAAGCTAACGTTATATATGCTCCGACCGTCCACACTCACAACAACGGCCTATACAGACATAAATAAACCAGCGACTGTATTCGCCATGACACAGGCAGTCTGTGGTTTCTACTTGTTTAACTTCTGTCTAGTTTCTGAACAGATATGAATGAGTGCTAAGAGCTAACGGCTATGTTGTTTTTTTGGGGCGCTCATTGAAGATGACGTCACGGCTCCGCCTACACTGCGTTACTATAGTAACTACCCCAGTTCCTAAACTGTAATGGAAGCGCAGCATTAAAGTGAGCCGGGCCTAATAAGGTCTAACCAAACCGAGCGAGGCCGAGCGAGGCCTGCAGTGGAAACGCGCCATTAGTTTCCTTTGTTTCTATGTCTTATTTAATATTTCCAGCTTTCATGGTTGCAAATGTGCTTTCTGTCGGATGAGGTTGTGACTCGAGTGTTATAATAATAATAATAATATATAATATTTGTATAGCGCCTTTCAGGAAACCCAAGGTCGCTTTACAAGTCGGGTAGGGGGGGTGTGGGAGTAGGGGAAAAAAGGCAGACAGGTTAAGGGGGTGGGGGGGGGGGAAGTAGCGGAAAAATAAACCTATTAAACTAACTATACAGTGGCGAAAGCCTTGGTAAAAAGGTGCGTTTTGAGGGCTTTTTTGAAAATGTCCAGGGTTGGGGCGCTGCGGATTTCGGGGGGGGGAGAGAGTTCCAGAGGGTGGGGGATGCCACACTGAAGGCTCTGTCACCAAAAGTCCGCAACCTGGTGCGGGGGGTGGAGAGGAGATCCTGTCCAGATGATCTTAGCTTCCGGGAAGGAGTGTGGTAGCGGAGAAGGTCAGACAGGTATTGGGGGGCGAGGGCATGGAGGGATTTGTAAGTCAGAAGAAGGAGTTTATAGGTGATACGGTGCTTGACTGGGAGCCAGTGGAGGTGGATCAGGGTGGGGGTTATGGTAGATGTGATGATTTCAGTGTCAGCTCTGTCCTTGGTTGTTAGTGTTGATGTTTTTAGATTAGCTACACTGTGCTCTGGAATGATTGGTGCAGATGTATAGACCCTCCAGAAAAACGCGATTATGCGATCGCATAATTTACCGCATAATCAGCAAAATGGCGCAGATTTTTAAAAGGGCGCATATTTCTTAAAAGGGCGCATAATCCCTGCATTTTTCCACACAAAGTTGAGGGGGAAAAAAGTTAACTCGTCTTGACGTGAAGTAGTAATGATGATGACGCAGCTCGCGCATCACAGAAGGTAAACAACACCGTAGAGTGAACGTGTGGAACTCACACGAGAGAGAAAACACCAAGATGAAAAAATCTAATCCATCTTATTTACCGACGAACATTTCTGCTAAAGACCGGGCAAAGCAGTACCCCGATGTCTTGCACGAAAGTGGGGGGAAACTATTCTGCACCCCGTGCAACTGTGTGTTGGAGCCATAGACTGTATATATAAATGGACGTAGGGTCCGTGACGTCACCCATAGGATTCTGCAGAGTTGCAGAGAAGCCCTTAGTAGGCGGAGTCGGCCACTAACGGCTCGACAGTGACGTCAGAGTTCAACTCCTGCCTGATCCAAATAGAGAGGCGAAGTTCCTCCCCTTCCGGGAGCCTCCATGGGACACCGGAAGCAGAAAATTATACATTGAAGTCAATGGAGAGAGAAAAGTTATCTTTTGATCCTGTTTGAATTGTGCCACAAATTACACATATGATGTTAGTCAAAAAAATAAAAATGTGTGGTAAAACTGTGAAGTTACACATTTGTTTGTGTGAAACCGCTCAGTAAACTACAGGTCTCTGGTCTCGCACAATACGCGTCACCGTCACAAAGATGGCCGTCACGTTAGCAAATGTCACCTGTTTCTTTCAGAATGAGGCGAAAAGTATAAAACGAGGTGAAAATCACTACAAGTCTGGGAATGTTGAGAGCTGTACATACACGAAAGGGGAGTTAGTCGGTTCTGTAAGAGCAGCGGGACCGGCTTTACAAGGTTTCGGTGAGTAATATGAGTGCAATGTTTAACGTTAATGTCAGCTAGCTAACAAGGTACACTAACGTCTCCTTAAAAACGTTGTGGTCTCTGTGTATGCTGTGGATAACATTAGTGTTCACAAGAACAAGATACACTCCTGTGTTTTGTTTTAGTTGCTCTTCAGATTGAAGCGGCCAGTTTTATATCGACTATACTGTATGTGTGATCTCTTTTTACATGTCGTTGTGTCATTTGAGTTTATTTGCTGTGTGTAGATTCAAGGATTTTGGTTATCTTGTCAATTTGTTTGGTTATCTAGGCACAGCTGTGTGTGACTCCCTCTGGTACACTGGTATGTGTTTTCCTAATGTAGAGAGCATTGATTAATTAATAAACTACACACCGAGTCTAGATCCTGACCAAATCCTTTTTTTTTGTTTATCAAATGTTTTTCAAAAATGTATTCATACACATTTAGAAAAATACAATGTACAATCACAACCAATACAACACAAATTGCAAAAAATACAGAAAAAACAAACAATAACAACAATCAAACAAGAGGACAAAACTATGGAAAAATAAACCCTCCCACCCCCAGATCCGGACCATCCTTGTAATATTGCTCATTCAATCTATTATAGCATGCTAACAAATGGTACTTACTTTATTTTTACAAAATCTGCATGGGAGACGATGGCGCGATGCAGAGCGCTGTCTGTGATTGTGCACGGGGGATGTACAAATGCAGCCACACTGCAGCATTTGCAATATTTGCCATGTGGCAGATCAGCTCCACAGATGTTGAGTGCCAGTGGAGGAAGCCTGGCACTTCAAAAGTAGTCCAGCCGGTGTCTCAACTGTATCAACAGCGAGAGGAGACATACAACCCACTGGCCAGAGATATCGCCACTGAGGATGTAGACTGGTTCAGGTCTGCACTAAGGGGCACACAGTGTGGCATGGCATGGCTTTTGTCACCTGAGCCAGAGCCGCAGCCTCAACATCAGGCCATTGTCACCGTGCCGGAGCTGGTGAAGGAGCATGGGGGTCGGGGGCTTGAGGCAATTCTTGCCTCAATGCAACTGAGCAGAGACCAGCAAGCTGCCATCCAGACAGCCACGTAGGACAGCGGACAAATCCTCAGTGGCAGTTACACAAGCGGGGCAGGTTGACAGCCAGCAATTTTGGTGCTGTGCTGCGGTCGGGACTTTCATCCACTCCATGCGCGTCCCTCATGAAGAGGGTGCTTGGGGGGTACAACTTGGACGGAGTCATGGCTGTCAACTGGGGGGTTGTAAACGAGACCGAAGGGGTGGAGGCTTTTGTGCAGGCCTATCGGGTGACAGTGTTCGAGTCTGGTCTCTTTGTGAGTGAGTCGGGTGTTTTGGGAGCATCATCCGATGGACTTGTGCAGCCATCTGCCCTGCTGGAGGTGAAGTGTCCACACAGCCAGAGGAACATGACCATCACGGAGGCAGTCCAGTTACCATCCTTCTGTCTCCGTGAGGAGGGTGGGTCATATATTCTCAAGGAGAATCACCCATACTGGCACCAGGTCCAAGGGCAGCTGCACATCACAGACCGGAGTCTCTGCTACTTTGTTGTGTGGACCACGAAGGAGGCAATCATCATCCCCATTCCCAAAGACCCTGCATGGCATGGAAATCTCCTCCTCCTGGAAAAATTCTACACCCAGCATATGCTCCCTGTGTTGGCCAGTAGAGAGGAGGACATTTAAATAAACATACTCTTAACACCCTCGGACTCTGCGTTGTGTTTCGTATGTGTGATGTGGTGTTACGCAGAGGGGAGGAAAACAGGACACAGCAGATTGGGATTGTGGTGGAGATGCTGTGCAGTTATTTAATTGTTGCATGTAATTATTATTATACTGCGTGCTTCTTAGTTATTCCATCTTTTGCTGTAACATGGATCTGTATGTAACTCTATATTTACTTGTTATCTACCACACTTCCTTCTACATCATACACCATCATTATACATGATGGTGTATATAGGATATATATATTTGTATAAATATCTGTAAATTGTATAATTAAATTTTTCGTATTTGGGATTGTTGGAAACGTCTTTTTGATCTCTCTTTCTATAAACACAAACTGAGTAAGATTGACAATAAAGTTGACTTTGAATTTGAAACATATATATATTCTTTATGAAAATAGTTGACTTTTGTCAAATGAATCCAAATGAAACGTTGGACTAAACTACAACTACACCTTTACATTTCTACGGACTGTTTTACAGTGGGATGGCAAATTCCTATCTTTAAACATTTATTAGTTTTTTCTCAGAACAGATTTGATTTTCTGAAGTTAATTTAACTTTGGCGACCATGTAAGGTCATTATTAAAAGGTACAATCAATTTGTTTAGGGTTGACTAAAATAATGAAAAACATTTCATTTGGATAATTTACTGACAGAATAAGAAACTCAATGATGCTCTACTCACCTGTTCCCTTTTTATAAAGTGAAACAGTTGAAACGATAGATTTGAGTAAACTTAAAAACAACCTTCTCCAAAAGCTATCAAGGAATATACCGAATACTTGTTTTAGAACTTTATTACATATTTGTATATAGTTTGAATGATCCATAATTGACAGAAGCTGGTGTTTACACTGACCTGTTACTGATATATTAATGTCTTTGTAACTTCAGTAAACCACTACCTCACTAATTTCTTTCATTCATCACGGTTCAGTAAACTAAGTGATACATGAACCAGTTTGAAAACAGCTAAGCTCCCTTTCTCTTTTCCATGTGGAAAATGGCAGCTGCATATTCTGCTTTTCTCATCTGCTCGTCTATAATCAGAAAATTATATAATTAATTACTAATAATTATTTAAACCTGTTAATACCAATATTTCACAAATTATTCATGTAAACTTAAGAGCACAGCTGTATGTTGAGTATGTCAACTTTGCTTGGTTCATCTTACTGGGGGGAAGCTACATGGATGACATCAAATGTTTCACAAAATACTTACCATCATGACTACTCTTACTGTTTAACATTTTGGTTTACTTCATGTTAAGGCTAATACAAATGACAAGGCTAAGTAATGTAATGTAATGCTAACTAACGTGCTCGGGTACTAGCTAGGTAGCTAACTTGACTATGTTCCATGCAAAACAAGTATATTACCTGATATGTTTGGTCCAACGACTCCTGGTCCTTTCATCAGATGGGAAGCGATAGAACGAGCAAGTGGTATGATCACTTTTGTGATTCCAACCTGGTACAAAGCACACAGGCATCTTATAAAAGTGAATTAATTGGAGCAATCTCTTATATTGGAGGGAATGAATCAGTTATGAGATCTTCTTCTTCTTTGCTTTAATTGCGAGTCGCAACCAGTCTTGGAGCATTATCGCCTATGACATCACTTACGCGACCCAGAATGGGATTTGGGATTTGTAGTCTTTCTAGTTGCGTATTTTTCATAGTCTTATATTTCAACAGTTTTACGACAAACTGTGACTTTTTTTACATGGAAATGATTGTTTAAGATTGACAAACATCATATGTGTAATTCGTGGCACAATTCAAACGGGATCAAAAGATAACTTTTCTCTCTCCATTGACTTCAATGTATAATTTTCCGCTTCCTGGGTCCCATGGACCGGAAGTAGATGGACGTGACTTCGCCACTCTATAAGGGCAAAGAGGCAGAGCCGAGGCGGGACCTGCTGCCACCGAGCTGGAAGTTCCAGAGCTAGCTGAAGCTACCAAGCTAAGCTAACATGCTCCCCATCTGCACACTGCCGTCGCATTTTACGTTTCTAAGGTAAGCGGACATGGAACTATTCAGCAAAACTATAAATAATAATCTAAGTTATTGAGTTTTTAGCATAATACTTCAGAATCTTAAAATCCCTTAACGTTTGTATGCAATTGTGCTAAATTCAACACTGGAATCAAGCAAATATTAATATGTTTGCATGACATTAGTTATTTATATTTTGATATCACTTAATTACACGTTTAATACATTTAAGTCAAGCTAAGGTACATGTGATGGTAGCTAGTTAGTGCTCTTACCTGTGAGGCCTCCTCCAAACAGCATAATAACCAGACTGTATCATTAAAACTAAGTACCAGTTCTAGATCCTTGACTTTAGACAAACAATTCAAAAGACAAAATGTATTTAAAGACCAATCTTTATTTGAATGTGCCTCTTAACCTAATATATTAGTTATACAGTAATAGTATTGACAATCTAAAAAAACTGAGCAACTCAACAGTCAACTTTATATTTCTTATGGTCTAAAGCATTTATTATTTTCATTTTTCCCCTCTCATATTCAATGTGGACGGATTGAGACAGCATGGTGTCCAGAGAGCTGCAGAGACTTCAGGGAGAAACCTCCGTGTGATCGGCGTCCTGTCTGTTGGTTTGGAGAGGACTGAGGGTCTTTCCTCAGCGAGGAGGACCAGGCCTGATGGAGGAGCCCATGCTGGGCACAGCTGATACCAACTGCAAAAGCCTAGTCTGTCACTTTATTTGACTAAATGTGTTAAATACATTTAATAGGTTTACACCTTCTGTCCATATGTGCTTTTTATTTAAAACATTTTTGATTAACTTTTGGTTCACATTTCAATAAATTGTATTTGTATTTGCACTCCTTTTGTCCATTATTCTTACTGAAAATCTGACTGAAGATTGGCCCCATTTATTTGTGACGTTGCAAACTCTGCAGTACAATGCACAGGTGATGTGAAGCTCATAAAGTGAGGCAAATAGAAATAATCAGCTGATGGAGTGTAGATGTGAAAATAGCTGCATTCGATCAGCTGACTGTGTTTTCACAATAAAAGTTGTTTCTTAGTGAATGTCCTGTACTGGTCTTAAAGTCTCATAACATCAGCTTTTAATGTTCCTCTTGGATGTTCTTCTTGACCCTCAGAGAAGGAGAAAATGTTTAATCGTGTCTTTCAGGCATGTCCTTTCCTAACAAAACTTACAGGAAACATAAAACATATTATTGCAGAACAAGTGTGTTATTTATGAAAGCGGTGTGTTTGTGTGTTTAGGGGCTGTAGATATAATTATTTTGTAATTGTAATGTTTTTTTTTTTAATTTCAACAGTGAGCTACAAAGACAATCAGATTAGGAATGAACAGTATGAAGTTCATCAACATTGAAATATATGTTATTATCAAAATAATATTTAACTGTTATCAAAACGTAGTGCAACTGTAGAAGCTTGCTCTGTTGTCTCACTGAAATAATAACTTTTACCACATTTTTTCAGACAATATTGAGAGATAAATAGTAGCAGTTAGCAGTTAACTATGTGTTAAATATATTTGCCTTCAATACATTACATTAGAAAGCTGACAGTCATATTGCTTGTTAACATCTAAATGTAACTTTTTGCATGGAAAAACCCCTCAACTTAACTGATGTGTAGGTGATCTAGTATTTAGTATTGTTTAATGGAATGTATATCAGTGTATTCAAGTCAATACTTCATTAATTTAAACCAATATATTTCTTGATTCTTTGTACAGTATGAAAAAAAGAGTATTTGTACCTGTGCTGAAGTTCACTGCTGTGAGGAGTCCAGTTCTGTCTACTCTCTGGTCCAGCCTGTCTGCATCACCTGGACACCTTAAACAAACAGATATATATGTAAAGTACCATGTGTACAAACAATATAACTGATTCTCTTCTGTTGAACATGTTGGATTGTGTATTGTCCGAGTCAGGGTCCTTTTTATTTTACTGTAACTTTGGAAGTTGTGTTACCAATGCTTACTGTTTATTTGATACCAATTTGGTAATGCAATTAATAAAAACAACAAGGTTTGGGTTCGTTCTTCAGATGACTATGACGTTATCGTGTAAGCTCAATAATGAACTCCAGCTCAACCAGCCATATTGTAATATCTAAGTAATCATCTTAAAATATGACATTAATAATTGTAATATACACACATCTTATTTCACATACACTACTTCGACATTAGCTTGTTTACATACTTGAGCATAGCCAATTTAAATTAACCTTAGCATGCATACAGTTCCTACCTACATAATAAAATATCTCTCTAAGTTACAAGGATGACCTTATTTTATCAACCT